AGTTATTTAATGATGGCTTTGTTCTTGTTCCTGTTATGGTTGATAGATCAGTAAACGGCGGTTGCTGCTTTAGAGTGTCTGTGTGTCTGTGCGAGGTTTTGCTTTGCCTTTGCTTTTTGTTTTCCAAGCAACCCCCAGACTGCACATTCATTGCACTGAGATTTATAGGCCAGTGAGCAATTAAATATAATTGTAGACATGTCTGTAAGGTTGTCATGGGGTTCAAACGAGGGCACGGTGCTCAGCAGAGATGGGCATGAAACGAACCAGAGCAAAATGCAAACTGGGCTGATTCCTGGTTCGGTTTGGGAATCCCGTTTTGCCACAACAAAACGAAGCACGAAACTAACCCCCCCCCAGTGCTTCGTTTTAGCAAAACGGGATGCCTGTCCTCCCCCCCCCCAATTGCCTCCTTACCTTGTCTTGAAGCCGCCATCGCCATCCCAAGAGGGTGCAAGCAGGCCTGGCTCCTTGCACAAAAACCAGGCCTTCTGCCTGCTTTCATGGGCTCGCTGCTCAGCTCACCTTGGCATGAACCCAAAAAAACAAACAAACTGGGAACCAATGTGTTCTTCAGATGGAGAAGAAATGGGATAACCACAAACCACAGGATTTCTGGTTCATGCTCACCTTTAGTCTTCTGCTCAAGTCCGATCCTTTGTACCTCCCAAACATTTTAGCCAAACTCAGGGATGTCTGGTGTCAAATCTTGTTTTTTAACACCTGCCCATCTCTTTTCTTGGCTCTGCCTTTGGCCTTTCCTCTGTGACTTGCTCCCTGAACTCTCTTTGCCTTCTGAAGCCAAGCCTTCAAGGGAGCCACCCTTCTGCAAATCTCCAATTCCTCCTTTTCTTCCAGTTCTTTTCTTTCCTGCTTTCATATCTGCCTCTGTCTCTCCAATTCTTAGCCCCCTTTTCCTGTCCAATCCGCCTTCTTTCCCTTTGCTTGCTTTTCTTTCTGGCTGTTTAAAATTTAATTTCCCTATTCTTATTCCACTTTTTCTACATCCAATAAACTCCCAGCAGCTCATCAACATGGATAAAGCAAAACATGGATAAAGCCCTTTAAGTTATAGGGCAGAAAAGAGTTCAAAATATTAAAATCCATACCTTAAAATAAAGGGAAGGTTTGAGCCATTCATTATCAGAACATGGAAGCCGAACCTTAAACCCATGCTAGAAGATCAGTGGAAGGAAGAAAAAGCGGTGAAACTTAAATTTCATGAATGTCCTGCCCTTTCTCAAGGCCTTCAACTCTTCCTTAATCATTCTAACCGGAATCTCTTTCAAGTTCCATTTTTTGATCCACTCCTTCATCCCAACCTTCTCTCACCTGGGTGTCGAATGTGCTGGAACTCAGCTCATTAGCCTCTTTCCCCCAAGTTCTTCCTAGACTTCCCTCTGCTTTTAAGTCTTAGCACGGTCGATTGGTGTCACTCTTCTTGCCTTCACCATATTCTCCTCACTTTTCTGACACTACTTTTCAGACAGTTGAAGGGCTCTTTCTTGGCCATCTCCCCCCCCCCTTCTCACTGCTGTCATTTCCACAGCTTTTTCTTTGGCTTCCACTTTGCAAACTCTCCCCATTGATCTCATTCCTTATCCACTTGGTTTCCAGGGTCTCTCCTTAGCTGACAACCTTCGGTTCCCTTTGTCAGATCCCACATTGCCTTTCTCAACTGACATTTCTTTCTCCTGAAAATGTTCTTCTTGGTTAAAACCAATAAAACAGAATTTCTCCTCACTTTCTGGGGTTACTTCTCCCTCCTGCCTTGCTTATACAAAGTCATTTCAGAACATTTTGTGCTTCCACTCACAAATCCTTTTTTAAAAAATTGTCTCAGTTTTTAAATCTTTTCATGCTGATAGTTTGTGCAAAGCAAATCTTTGGTCTCTGTTCTCTATTGAAGGAGGAGAATTTGGTTGGTTGGTTGGTTGGTTGGTTGGTTGGTTGGTTGGTTGGTTGGTTGGTTGCTTGCTTGCTTGCTTGCTTGCTTGCTTGCTTGCTTGCTTGCTTGCTTGCTTGCTTGCTTGCTTGCTTGCTTGCTTGCTTGCTTGCTTGCTTGCTTGCTTGCTTGCTTGCTTGCTTGCTTGCTTGCTTGCTTGCTTGCTTGCTTGCTTGCTTGCTTGCTTGCTTGAAGTGACACCCCTTTAGAACTGTAAGCTTTTTAGAGATAATTGGCTAGCGTACTGTGTTTTAAATACTACATCCAATTGTGGGCAACACATTTCAAGAACAAGGTGGACATGGAAGTTCACATGGGTCCTTTCTCTGCAGCTTTGTCCATCCTCACCAGAGGTCTCACCTTTGACCATCTAGGCTAGTGGTTCCCAACCGTGGATTCCCAGAGGTTCTTGGACTGCAATTCTCGGAAACCCTGGCCAGCACAGCTAGTGGTAAAGGCTTCTGGGAGCTTTAGTCCAACATCTGGAAACCCGAAGTTGGAAACCACTAATCTAGAAGTTCAGGGCTGAAAAGTAAGGCATAAATGAAATTCCTGCCTATCTCATCTCTTCCTCTCCTGCCCCTAGTGTAACTCATTACACATGTGCATTGAATTGCACAGCTTTCCTTCAGCTCTAGTGACCAATGTCAAAGGACCCGGATATCAATGTTCCATTCCCAGAACCCATGGGGAACTATGATAGGCCCCCAAGCAAACAGAAAGGATGAAAAATCAAAACATAGCAATGCTGGTTGTCTTCATTTGGTTTCTGTTTTGTGCATTTGTGGTGGGCGTTAGAGAGAGGCTGCTCTTTGTTTTATTAGGAAACTACTATTTCCAGAAGTCTCCAAGACCCAGAAATGACATTTCTGAAAGGTGTTTGTGTTGCTTGCTTGCTTTTTGCAAGACAGACTGGCTTTGTGAAAATGGCCTTGAGGGCCATAATGAGGTCTTTTGATGATAGGCCTGCTTCTTTAGGCATTTTCTGAGGGGTCTTAGATCTTTTCTTTAAAAAAAATATCTGTCTGCTGTGTTTGGTTGCTGCAAAAGCTCTGAGTGCTTTTAAATGCCCCAGAGTTAGATTATAGTCAGTAATAACAACAACAAGAAGAATTGCTTGTGTTGTTGGCACATTGCTGGCAAGCAGACTTTGAATTCTAACAGAGTAGAGATGCTAAGACTTCAAGAATGATAATAAGATTGGTGCAGGGATAGATATGTTTCACATTCACTCAGCTGGCTCATCGCTGGCAGATCGCGCAAGCGGCCTCTTGGCTCTCTCAAGCTCTGTTTGGCATCCAGGCCTCCACCTTGTACAAGGAAGACAAATTAGGACGCGCTCGGTTATGCGTAGCTGAGCAGGAGAGCCTAGATAGAACGACCGCCTCCAGCTTCCTGAAACACGGGGATGGGAGGAGGGGAGCTGCAAGAAACAGGGCTGGGAAGGTCTCCAGATGCAAGCGTGCAGACCCACCTTTCCTGCCCATCTGAGCCGTAGAGGTGAGAGAGGAATGAGATGAGAACCAACTAGAGATAGGTGGGGGGCAAGGGAAGTATTGGAGGTTGGTTTCCCCCACCCCATAAGAAACTCTTTTCCCCCCTGGTGTGTTATCCATACCTCAGCATGAGTGAGAGGGAGGGATCCACTTTGAGAAGCTCATGTCACCCATCTCCACTGGATTCCTGCCCAGAATTTGTGGTTCCATATTTGCAGCCTGGTTTCTGGATCCTGACTGGTGGAACAGGATCTATTTTGAGGTTTTTAACACGAGATGAATGATGGGGGAAACGTTACCTCCTTCGTTGTTGTTGTTGTTGTTGTTATTGTGGCTTTCTAGCCTCTTTTCCCTCCCACTCCGGTGTCTTAGCCCTCTGGCTGCTCAGTTTGTCTCCAGTCATCCCTATAGCTTCTCTCTTGTTTGTACCAGCAGAGCAGAGATCTAAAATTTCAAAAAAACAAAAATCCATTTAAAAAAACAGGGAAAAAGTCTTTTTCCCAGAAAAAAATTTTCAGATATTTTACATCTCTGATGAACACTTGAGTTCTTATAATAAGAAAATATGAAATGAAAACACTTCTAAGTGTGTGGGGTTTTTTTCCGGGGGGTGGAATTGAAATTTTTGGAAATTTTACAGCTCTACACCAGAGACCTCACTCTACGCAGTTTTGCCTGCATCATCAAGACACTACATAGCTCGACCCCTCGTGTTTGTGCCTAGGTTCCTGGTGGCAACTTCCCATAATAGCATCATGCCTATTCTAACGCTCCCGGGTTTGTTCCCTGAACTGGCCAAAATATTCAGCAATGTTTCATCACCTCGTCAGCTTTGACAACCACTTCATCACTGTACATGCTACTTGGTCTAAGTGATAATCAAGAAAAGGTTGAGAGGACCTGTCTTTCTGATGGGAAGTTGCCAAGGAAAAAAATGATCTCTTGCATAGTGTTTGAAGATGATATGTTTCGTTTGGCTGTAGATTCTGCTACGCCATCACTCCAAACTGAAAAGAAATGGGGGAGAAACCCCTGTTGGAAACAGATTTAGGCATCTTAAGAACTGCAACCATGGCCAGTGTCGTCTTACTAATTCCCGTTAAGAGTACACCCGTTGAGGCAAATGCTCCATGGCATGTCAACACTTATAGAAACCCAACTGAATCAATGGGTCTTCTTTCACTTGGGACCATGTTCCAGACCCATATGGGTTATGCTGGCCAACCTACAGAACTTGGAAGTCCAGTAGTGGGTTATTAACACGCTACCGGTGAGCTCAGATCATGGGCCATATGCTGCTTTGCACCTCCTAAGAATTAGTAGAAGCGGGAAGTAAAGTCGTAGCATTTTGCATAAAAGCAAGGTCACAGAATTTTGCTTGAAGTGGGCCAGATCCAAGCTACCTGTGTGGAAATAGCAACAGTCATGGATGGAATAGTTTGTGCTGTCAACGTGTTTCTCTGGGTTAGGTTTCTCCCAGTCAGTTGATGTCCTCTAACAATGGAGCAGCGACTGTTCTTCTATTTATATATATTTTTCTCTCTCTCAACTGTTTTCAGGGAAACAGAAGTATCTCTGTGCCAGCCGGAACGACTGCACCATCGATAAATTCCGAAGAAAAAACTGCCCTTCCTGCCGACTGAGGAAATGCTACGAAGCCGGGATGACGCTGGGAGGTAACCGTGGGCTTGAGCTGAGGGAAACGTTGGTTCTCCCCCAGCATACCTGCTTGGCTATTTCTGTGTCCTATTTCGGAGGAGAGGGAGCACACACATGGGGAGGTCTCAGCTGTCGTAGTCATTCCCTTCAGCCAGAGAAGTTTCACTCTTAAATCAGTGTCCTTCCCTGATTAGATTTTGGCACGCTCAGCATCATCATCAGATGAGAGGACTTGGTGAAATCTCATCCTCGGTGCTGAGAGTCCAAGCCACCCCGAGAGAGTTAACATATGCGATGGGTGGATACCAGCCTGCCATCGGGGCAAGTTTATTTATTCATTTATTGAAGATGTTTCTAATCCACCCTGTATCCTAAGATCTCAGAGTGGCATAGATAATTAAAACAACATCCAAATGGTTAGGTATGTGGCTTGCTATGGCCATCTCAGAAGGTGTCTGATGCTCAGTCCACCTAACCAAGCAACATCTTCCTCTCTTGCTACAAACAAGCACTGTTTTCCCCTGGGATTGTGGCCACTTACACACCACCGAACAAAGGAGTGCAAAAGGGAGCCCCTTATTGTTGTACTGCTCTATCAGTTAAGAAGTTTTTCCTGATAACCTGAATCCAGCTTCCTGTAACGTGAGCCCATTGTCAGATGCCTGGTACTCTGGGATGCTGGAGAACAGATCTGGCCCCTCTGTAGGACCTTTCAAACATCTGAAAAGTGTAATCTTATCTTCCCCCATTCTTCTTTTCTCAAGACTAAGCATGCTCAGTTCTTTCCATCTTTCCTCCTAAGGCAGGTACAACATTAGAAATAATAATAATAAGTTTTTTAAAAAGTTGCAAAGGATCTCACTGAGGTGTGTGTGGTAGTGCCCAGACAGCCTGAGAAATTGCTGCTCTGAGCCTCCTCTTAAATGTGGCTCATGGCAGATGATGGGGAATTTCTAGGGCTCTGATCTCCCTCCATCTTAGATGTCTTTATCTTTCGGGGTCAAGACCAGACTTCAAAGGGGAGGCACCTGCAAAACATGGGTTGCAGTCTGGCAACCCTACGTCCAGGTCTTCCCGGACATGTCCTGGAAAATGAGTGAACCCAGATTCTGTTGTATGCCCGGGCCATGGAGACCTGCCTGCTGCGGGCGGCTCTTTGTCTGACCTCCCGGGATGTCAGCCAAAGAAGCCTTGCAGCCTTCCAACCCCAGGGAATTCTGGGGAGAGCCCTCTCTTCGCCCCCTGCCACCCACCGCCCTGAAGGATCAAGGGAAGAGCTTCCTTGAGGAAGGAAACCTGCTTGTCCATTATTAAGAGGTCCTCCGGATGGGCTTGTGCAGGGGAACAGGGGGTGCGTCCCCCAAATCCTTATGGGGTGACTCTCCTCTCCACCACAGTTTGTTCCCTGAGCCAGCAGAATTTATCCCGTTGCATGCTTCTGCTCGTATCAAGTGAAGAACTCTGTAGGCCCATTTGTGTGTGTGTGTGTGTGTTTTAATCTAATGCATGGAGTGGAGGTACAAGTGGAAATTCAGACTCGCCAAACCAAAGAATACTTTGGAAACCAACTGGAACCTCCTTAGTTTGGGCGAGTGATCAAAGGTACAATGTGGTCCTTAATTAAAACCAAGAGAGAGTCCCTGCTTTGAGGTATAAGTTTCCCCTCTAGCGGTAACCTTCCTGTTCTCCCTGGGAAGAGATGTGGAACAAACCAACAACATACTTCATTACTGGAGCAAGAAAAAGGAGAGAACGAGGACTTGCTCCTCTATCTGGGCTGCTCTGCTCCTCCAGGAGATAAGAACGGGCCATTCCGCAGATGGCGCTGAGGTCGGTTATGGTGGTGCTGAGAAAAAGGGCAGTGCGCGGGGTGGGAAAGCCACAGATGAGTAATTCTAATGAAGGATGGTGAGAGGAATGGAGCAGAATAACAAGCCGCCTGCTCCAGAGCGGAGGGACAGTGATTCGGCTGCCATTTTGTGAAAGTGGCCTCGTCCTTTCCAAGGATGAGGGAAGAGTGAGGTTTTCCATAAGGGTTTCTGAAAAGTTTCCAAGCTCTGAGAGACACCCTATCAGGGAAGAAACCTTCTAGCGCTATTTTCCCAAGTCTTTTTCACTAATTCTTGAGGATGTTTAGCTGGGATTTGATAGGAGATTATTTCTGATTGAATGTACACAGCACGGCATGCTTCATCTTGAGTTCCCTCATGAATGGATGGGGTCAGTTTTACATGTTTTATGTTGGCTTTCAGATAAGCTTTTTTCCACCAGACAGGGATGCAAATGTGGAGAAATGACAAACCAAGCCAGGGGGTGGTCTTGAGGGACAATATTCAGCTCTCACAAAAGTATCGCTGTCCCACCTGGAACAGGAGAGAAATGCAAATTTTCTCAACAGCCTCTTCAGATGCAAACATTTTGAGAAGCCTGCTGTGCTAACTTGCCTGTACTCCCAATGCTGGAACCTTGCACATCTTTGAGAACCAATAACTATGCAAACGTTAGCACGAAGCAGGGTTATAATTGGCTTGTGGTTAGGATTAATTCTCACTGATCTCGTTCCAAAGTGCAACACCTCTCCGCGTCTTGATCTATTTTCTGCACAATGGCTCAGAAGAAGAAAGTCCTATTGGGGTCAAGAGATCCACTGTCGGGGAGAGATGTTTAGAGTTACAGGCTTAAGGTCTCAAAGGAGAAACGAATATCAGCATGCCTCTCTAACTGCTAGAGGAAACTGCTTCGGTAAACATAGGCCACATGAGGCAGCGGGAGGCTAAGATTTCTGTGAGTCATACTACTTTTATTCTGAGTGGGCACATAATTCATAAACAGATACAAGCAACTTAATTGAATATTTACATCTGAAAGTGGGATCTCATCTCTGAATTTTCCTGAAGGAAAGAAGTAAAGCCACTAGGTGGAACACAGGCCTTCACAAAACCGGGAGAGGTACAGAGGGTTGGGAAGAAGGTAAAGGGATTGCTTAACAGAGTTTGGAAATAACACTTAACTTAGCAGGTCAATGTCAATATCATTACTCTTGCAATGCAAAGGAAGAAAAGCCAAACTGATGTGTCTCAAGGATAATGTTTTAGAAGTACTATCTATAAACACTCCCTTGGTGTGTTCCTTTTGAAATGCTATTTGGTTAAGGTGAGATGCTTCCCTCCTTTAATGTAAAGGAAGGATTTTGAATGTTTAACCTGTGAAACGTAAAAAGCCATTTTCCAGGGACAGAGAAGGAGTGAGGGGAAATAGGAAGGAGGAAGGGACTTGCTCAGGACTGT